ATACAAACCTCTAGAGAGGCACAGCCTTTTGATTATCAGTATAATCTCCTAGGGACTACAACTTTTAAGGAGCTCTGGTGGTCTAGTGGTAAGAAACTGCACCACAATCCTAAAGGCACATGGTTCAAATCCACCAGTTGCTTAGCGGGAGAAGGATAAGTAATCTCCTCCCATGTGATTAAAAGCCTCTGAAAACCTGCTGGAGGGTCAATTATGAGTGGGTTTTAACTCGTTGGCAAACAACATCTTTTAAATCAACATTGTCACCCAACAAGGATTAAAATGCTGCCTAGAAATGCCAACATTAGCTAAAACTGTCAATAATGCAAATCTAAATCTGTAGCCATTGAGTTTATTTCCCATAGAAATGGAGTCCACTGCTGCAAGGCTTGTAACAGCAAGAGAGAACCATCCCAATTGTCCCTTCTAAAAATGTGAAAGAATCCCTGATATTACATGGTAAATAAACCCGAAGGTTAGTGATGTAATATAGCTAGTAATCCAGCAAGGAGGAAAATTGGCTTTCTTGTCACATAAAAACTTATAAAGGCTCAATCCACTTCACAGCAGTGACTAGGTTGGTTACTGGTGAGACGCCAAGTAAGGTATGGCTTAAGCATAGACTTCCCTGTGGAATATTACGCAGGAATAAAAAGGAAAGCCAACTTGTTAATCACGGAACAAAAGCCTGTAACAGTGGAATATATATATATATGGTAGATTCTATTGTGTTTTCTTTTAAATGTCTGTGTGGACATCAAATCCATCAGAAGGGTCTAGAAGGAGGCATAACCACACAGGAAAGGCAGTTAGTTGAAGAGATGGGTTACAGGCTCTGAACACACATTCCTCTCCATATTTGGAAATAAGTCCTTTGGCAGTCTGGGATTGACAGAGAGCAGGGCTGAAGCCAGGGCCTGGATGTGTCCCTGGGACAAAATGCCTGCCCTCTTCCCTGGCTTCAGCCTCTATGCTCAAAGGTCCCCTTACTCAGCCAGCAGATTAGGGCACACCTGAGAGGAATCCAGGTAAACACAGCAGTTAGAAACATTTCAAAACCAGAAGATCCCACCTCACAATCTCATCCAGACCAAATCCCTTCTTTGCTGGGGAAAGACACATTTTAGGCTAATCTTGTCTATATTAATATCGGAGAGCTCTGGCAGTGTCTTTCGAGCACTGAAATTCACCAGCACTCTCTGTGGGAGAGGGACGGGCCATCTCCTCCCATGTAGTTTATAGCCTCCTGAAAACCACCTGGAGGGTCAACTATGAGTCAGTTCTGACTGCACAGAAATGAGTTTGAATTGGCTAAAATCAAACCTTGCTTAACTTCCTGTCCACACCCTAACAAGGTTAGGTGACCTGGTAGGTCACAGAGGTCTGTAAGAGGAAGAGGTTGTGCTACCACCCTGCCAGCCAGGCCTCCAGAGCCAGTCACAGAATAGGCCAGCTGTTAGCATGCAAGAGGTCTTAGTACCCAACACTGGAGGGGAAACAGCACAGAACTGTTCTGAAACATTTCTGTGTGTGGGAATAAATAGGTAGGCATGTACATCTCTGCCAAGACAGTGTGTCCATTCCACTGACCTGTACCTTCCTATCCCAATTCAGGATAAGGGGCAGGAACTGGTGGGAGGGGAAGGAGTTTAGCCTCAGTGCTTCCCTTTGCAAATCATCCAATTTTCACATCAAAACATCTGGGTCTGAATTCCCAAAACCTCAGCCCTGAAATTATCCATAAAGCCTAAACCAATAACATCCCCTGCAGTTACCTTAAAACCAAACAAGTTTAGTCTGCCTGGGAGCACTGTGCTATTCTTAAGAAGTATCTCCAAGAGATCAGACAACAGCAGTGTGTAATATTAGATAAGAACACCAGGAAATGAAGAATTTGTTAAGTGAGGGGAACAATAGCAGCCTAAGTCTGGGAATGTTAACAATGTCACTGAGATGTATATGCAGAAACTTTTTAGAAAGGGAATTAAAGGACCCATGCTTTAACACTTTTGTTTTTACTCAGTCACACAATCATCATTGCAATTGAGTCAACTCACTCATAGTTAACCCTTCAGTGGGTTTTCAGGAAGCTCTAAGTCACATAGGAATAGACAACCCATCTTTCTCTCTTGGAGCCATATGTGTATTCTACCCATCAAAGAGGCGGGACCTTGGGATAGCAGCAAAACTGCCTACTGGCATGTCACCAGAGCTCTCCTGCATTGTTGTTGTTGCTAGGTACTGTCAGTCTCCTGTGACTCTTAAGCGACCCTATGTACAACAGCTCTGAAGCCTGCCCTGACCTGTGCCAGTCTCACTGACTCCCACACACCAACCCCCATTGCCCCAGGGTCTCCCTCTCCTGTACAGTCCCTTCACCCTTCTAAACATGAAGTCCTTCTCCAAGAACAGGTCCTACCTGGCCACGTGCCTAAAATTGTGAGATGGAGTTTCAAAATCCTACCCTACAAGGAGAAACTTGGTTTCACCCTCTCCAAGACAGACCTATATGTTTTCTTGGCGGTCCATGGTATGTTCAAGACTCTTCTCCAGCAAAAGTAAAAATCATCCCAAATTGTGTGTATGTTGTAAAGGGGGTGGGCTTTGACGCAGAAAAACTGGTTGGTTTTGCTGCTCTCCAAACTGATTCAAGTTTAGTAAACCTTCCTAGTTCCTTCATAGGGAGTTTAAGTTAATCCAACCAACAGTAGGTGGCTTAAGTTGCAAAAATTGTTGTTGCTTCGTTTTGCTTTACACTGCATTAATTATGACATCAGAGAGCTCTGACGATCTAGTGGGGAAGGAGCTGCACTGCCAACGCAAAGGAAAACGATTGGTGTCCACCAGCTGCTCTGTGGGAGAAAGATGGGCGATTTATAGCCTCTAAAACCAACTGGAGGGTGAGCTAGGAGTAGCACACAGCAACAGTAATTGCATAAATGGAGTACGTTGTTGAGAACTGAGAGCTAACAACCAGGAGGACCATTGCCTTTCCAGAGGATTTTCACATCCACGTCTTGTTTCGCAAAGACGCCCACTCCCTGCGTCTCACTTCCACGTGGAGGGCAGAGGGATGCAGCAAGCACAGTGGGCTCCATATTCTCCTCTCCCCACAGAGTTCCCAGCGACCCTCAGAAAGCACAAGGCAGGTGGACACTGACTAAATGCGCACCAAAAGAGACCTGGGCCCTCAACCTCCGAGCTTATTGTGGACAAACAAGGAAGCACAGCCAGTCAGAGCCTCTGCACGGCCTGGCCCAGCCCCCTCCTTGAGCTCCCCCCAGCACCCTCCCCTCCGTGATGTGCCAAGCCCGGTGGGCAGGCGCTGCCCAGCAGGACCAGACCCCATACTGACTGCAGTCTGCTGGACACCTAGCCTGAACGTGAACTGGAAAGATTAGTCAGTCATCAAGCTCCCCGCCCAGCTCGTGCCCTGTCCCCACCCGGCCACTCCCCGCGAGCTGCTCCCCTCCCCCAGGTCCACCAACCCGGGCATCGGATCCCAGCTTGGGCTCCCTCAGCCACAGCCACCTTGGTAGCGGCCTGCAGCGCCTTAGCCCAGAAGACAAGCACTGACCCCGCCCCTTTGGCCCACACCCTTAAATGAAAGCCTCAAGTGTCCTTCCACCTGCCATATGATTGGGGGGGGCAGGGCCAGGGGAAGGTTTAGCTGGGATCACAGCCTCAACACCCTGCAGACCAGAGGCCTCAGCTCCAAATGGACGGGAGAAAGCGGCCTTCCCGCTATTGGTTGAAGGCTGCTGGTTTTTCTAGGGTGTAACCAGCAAGTGAACTGTATTACATGTCTTAATTGTGTAAGGGTACAGATATCAAACCTGTCTCTCATTGTAGCCACACTCCTTGAATATGGTCGCCAATAAAATGTCAAGGCTTTCCTCACAGACCAAAGGGAGACTTCTCCTTTAAAAATATTATTAGGGGGGTTTATTGCTTTTTTGCCTGCTGCTGCATACAAGTCGAAGACAGCTCAAAGAAACAATTTTCTTTAAACTAAGAAGATGGTTTACCATCTCTTAAAGTTTTTTCGATTCACCAAACAACAAGGTGCAAGCCAAGCCCAGGATCCACGAACGCACGTGGAGGTGCGCACTGCCATAGTCCCCATGCTGTGAGGCGAGGGGCCTGGGTAAGGATGAGCCCCAGGACAGCAAAGGCTGGCCGGCTTCCCAGCCAACCCCACCCACCAAGGCCAGACGTTCCCCGCCCCCCGCCCCCGCCTACAGGATGGGCGGGGCCGCCCACAAAGGGTCCGGCGGGAACTGGATGGCCTCCCACCCACTGCCCTTGGCTCTAGTTAGAAATTAAACCTTAGGGCACTGCAGAAAATTACAGGAAGAAGAAAGCGGAAAAATGTGCCGAGCGGCTGGGAGGGCCTGGTGTCCCCGTGTGAACTTAGCCCGCCGCATGCCCGGCCCCATTCCCGCCCTTCCCAGTCGCAAGCCCAACGCTCCAGTCACCGCTCTGGCGGTCTGTGATCCCGCCCAACCCCACCCACTCCCCACCCCACAACGGCGCCCTCAAACCCCTGGGCCATCCGCACCTGCCCGCCCCAGGGCCTAGGCGGGGTACCCTCACGTCCACCAGCCCTGGCGCCAATTAGACAGCCAGCTCCGCGGCCCCACCCGAGCGCGCCCAAGGAGAGGGGCGTGCCGGCGGGGGCGCGGTCTCGGCCTCCAGAGCCCCTGGACTCGCGCTGCCTGCACACAGGCAGCCGCTTGCTCTGCAAGTCTTCCGGGTGAGGAGCTCCGGGCTCAGCCTGCGTGCAGCCTCCCGCGGGGGGGGGGGGGGGGCCGGGGCACTAGATCTGGCTGTGCAGAGCCAGACGGCTCATTCTGTGAGTCCTTCGGGCGAAGAGCTCAGTGCTCAGCCTGCGCGACCTTAGCGGGCGCGGCCTCCCCACCTCCCCAGGAGTCTGATTCGGGGGCGTGGCCGAACTCGCTACTAGCCCCTTGCACTCGGGCTCCCGCCGCCTCACTAACCTGTGTGAGTTCTCAGGTGTGCTTTGAGGTGCGAGGATTTCCCATAAACTTTCTCGCAACCTGCGTAGTGGCACTTGTGCTTTCTCTGCGGGGACTCGAGGTCGGCGCGACTTCGGCTTCTCCGGCCCCTTTGTCTCAGGCCAGACTCGCAGCTTTCTATAATCTCAGGCTCTAGCCCGGGCTCGGGCTCACTCCACGAGGGACTAGGGGGTGCGGCCGCCGCTCCTCTGCCACTTGGTGAGGCCGGCTCTAGTGTGGGTGGCACAGGCTGCGGCACTGGCGACAGGCGGCAGGGGGTCTTCCCCTTACGGGCTGCAGCCCCCTCTCTCCGTTCAGCCGGAGCAGGCGCCGGCGCCTGCTGATTGAGGTCCGCCAGGATCCGCGCCACTACAAAAAGTGAGGAGCTGTCCTTGCCGTCGCGGCGCTCCTCGACACAGGGCAGCGTGGAAGCGGCTGTACCGACCGCGCCCTCGGGCTGGGACTCTGGTCCCTCCCGTGGTCCGTGCACGACCGCGCGGCTAGACATGGAGACGAGGCACTCAGCGGCGAAGTGGTCCACAAAGGCAGCGGCTGCCATGCTCACGGAGTTCGACGAGTGGGTGGCGGCACTCCTCCTCTCGAATCAGCGGTGCATCCGAGTCCTTAGCTTCCTCAAAGCGGGCGATGGGTGACGGGGACGCGGCGCGCCTCTCAGATGGCTGATTGCGCGCGGCCGCCTCCGCCGTCACCTGCGCGGCTCCACAGCTTCTGTGCAGCCGCACGGCCGGGCACCGAGGACTGAGCGCATAAGAGGCGCGGAGGCGAAGTGCTTGCCGCCCGGGAGGTGTAGGGACGGCCTGTCCTAAGGATGCCGAGCGACGGCGACGTTAGGAACCCCGACACGAAGTAGCTTTTCAGTGCATTGTGGCAGGCAAGATAGCCCCCGTGCGCGCCTCGGCTTGGTGTGGGCGGCTTGGTCCCAAGGATGGGAGGGGCTGGAGCCACATCTGGACCCGACGTCAGCTCCTAGCCACATCCTGGCAGCGCAGGTTACAGGCGACCGCAGCCGCAGCGAGCTGCGCGCGCACTGTTGGTAAAGCGCGCTCGCGGCGAGAGGAGGCGGGGACCAGAGCAGGGGCACATTATCATTGGTCTTAGCATTTGCTGCCGGGCCAATCCTGGCGTCCAGAGGGGCCTACACGGTTCCAAGGTCTGGCGTATGCCAATGGACTTGCCTCCCGACAGGAGGAGGGACGGAAATTTGAGCTGGGCACGCGGACGCACGACGTTCCAAGGGCGGCCCGGCTGACCGAGTGTGACCGCGCTCTGCTCCCGCCTCCTCGGCAGCGGTGGCCTGCCCGGCATTTTCCTGTCAAAGCTTTTGCACAATGACAACTTTGAACCTCGGCTGCGCGGAGGGAAGAGCCTAAGAAGGCTCCCCTTTTGTCCTTGGGCCCCGCCCGCTTGGCCGCTGTGGGTGGGTGCGCCTTCTGGGCCTCAGCCTCGGTTTCTGTTTTACGCGCTGGAGCAAGGTTTGCAGATAAGATGCGTGTGTGCCGCCCCTCACCCCCAGCAGGGGCCAGAGACTTTCCTGCTGCTGCAGAGCGAGCTAGCTTCCCTCAGTGATCCTTTCTTAAGACTAGCTTACTCGCTGCCTGCTCTTGCTCCCCAGTTTAAGCCAAGGACCAAGGAGCAGCCCACCTGAGGAGGTCAGTGATGCCCGCGGCAGTACAAATCTGACTTGTCTCTGGCGAGCAGACCGTCCAGGCGCAATCTCGATGCCTGAGAGCCTGGGATCACAGAAAGTTCGATTGCATCCATGCAGGCTTGTACAGGCGAGAGTGAGCTATGTTTAGAGACAGCATGCCAGGTGGCTCAAGGCACAGAGTCCCTTCTACCTTTCCCCGCCAGCAAGCAGGCTGTCCACTTCGCTAGGCAGCTCCGCTCCCACAGGGGTCGGGAGAACTTAGAATGCCGCCCATTGTGAAGACCCCGCCCACCGTGCTCCACCCACCCACCGTCCGGGCGCTGCAGAGGAAGTGCTCCGCAGCGCGCGGCCGGGAGCTTCCCAGCCTAGTGTACCCAGTTTTCCCTTGACTAATTCATACTATGCTCTGCCCCGCGCCCCGCCATTTCTTCCCTGGCCGTGTGCTGCCATGTAAGCGGCGGTGCATAACTTAGAATGCCTGTCAGTTGAGCACAAAAAACTCCTTTCCGCGTCTTCCCTGCCCAGTTTGCACTGGCAGCCCCTGACTAACAGGAGAAAAGGGCCAGGTCTGTAGCCCTGGGCTCAGAACACGTAAAGGTTCTTCTAAAGAATCATTCGTCCTCAAAAGCACTTTATGACATGGGAGGGGTCACAGAATTCAGAGGATGACAGAAATTAGATTTCTCACCAAGTTAATCTGGGGACTAATTATAAGACTGTTTTCCAAGTAATCACTGGAGGCGAGAGAGCGTTCTGAATTGCATGTCCCATCCAAGTTTGAACAGCGTAGGTATCTGGAACTTTCTACTTGTGATGGAGTTTCGATTAGGATACACCTATTGCTCTATGGGAGAAGGATGAGCAAGCTCTCATTCCATTTGCTGCCTCTGAAATCCAGCTGGAGAGTCAGCTGGGTCACTTACAACTCGATATAATGAGTGTTTTGAGAGAGTCAAGTTGGTGCTGTTCAGGAGCCTGCCCAGTACTTAGGCTGGAATGGAGTGAGCAGGGCAGGCTGGACAAGACAGAAAGGAATGGGGGAATTCTGCCAGCAGGAAGTAATCCTCCCAGGAAGATTGGATTGATAGCATTTAAAAGACTACCCTGGACAAGAAGTGATTTATACTAGATGTGTCACAGACACTTCTTCACTGAGGACAGAGTTGGCCCTAAGCTATGTATCCCACACCTCCGGATATGTGTGAAGAGGGGCTAAAGAGTACACAGGTGCCATGGGTCCCTCCCCAGTACTGTGCAGTCTGACAGCAGCCTCTTCTCCATCCTAACAAAAGAGTGGATGTTTATTGTCTGTCTAAAGAAGAAAAAGAGGCCTCTCTCTTTGCTAGGATCCATGGCCATGCCAACATGGACAAGTATCGAGGTCTTCTTTCCACCCTGAAGCTGTGCAGCCACCTAAGAGAACAGAAGTGCCATGATAAACTGTACAGAAAAGCCCATTGGGGCACAGCTCCGAAGGCCAACCCCTTTGGAGGTGCTTCTCATGCAAAAGGAATTGTGTTGGAAAAAGTGGGTGTTGAGGCCAAGCTGCCAAATTCTGCCATTAGAAAGTGAACCATCATCCATCTCATCAAGAATGGCAAGGATATCACACAGCCTCAAGGGCTGCTTGAGTTTTATTGAGGGAAATAATGAAGTTTTGTTGTCAGATGTCGTTGCAAAGGTCAGGTTATTGGTGACATTCCTGGAGTCTGCTTTAAAATTGTCAAGGTGGCCAATGGTCTTTTGGCAAAAGGCAAGAAGGAATGGCCAAGATCTTAAGTTTTGATGAAAATGTTATAGTCATCAAAGAGTATTTGGGGCTGAGAGATGCCAAGAAAGTTAAGGATGAATTCATAAAATGAGTAGGGTGAAGGCAATTATATGAATGCAATGCATGATTGGATGCTGAGACCAGCCCAGACCCTTGCTTCCAGTATTTCAGATACAGGCAGCCAAACTATCTCCTTCCATAGAAGACTGGAAGACTCCTTCCTTGGTAATTAGATCAGTCCAAGAGAAGACACTTCAAGATTCTGATATCTGTCTGCAACTGCCCAACTAGAAGCAAGAGTGGCAACCACTTCCTAAACAAAATGCCTCTGGAAACTATGAACTTTGATAAACGTCGATAGTTGTAGAAGAGCTTCGGGCCTTTTGTTCATAGGGTTGCTATGAGTTGATGGCAATCAACAACTGTAGGGAAGCCCACAGTTAACAAGTAGTGCTATTACACATGCCACTTCAAGTAATTCAATCCCTTATAGGCAAATAGGTGCAAGTGTCTTGGAAAAGCCCCTTTAAATTGTTATTAGAAATGAAAACACTCAATGAGATGGGTTGACACAGCAAGGGGCTCAAGTGTGTCAGAGACAAGGATGACACAGGATAGGACAGGGTTCTGATCTGTTGTCCATGGGGTCGCTGTAGGGGGTACTTGATTCATACTGATTGCAACAATAGGCCTAACCAATGGTCTCATGACAATTGCCCATTATGATAAGCCTATATTCTAAGCTCCTTCCTACAACTCTACCAGTAAGAAGAAAGTTTCAGATAGCTCAGATATTCATATGATGCGATATGCAGTTTACTGTTGCATGCAACCTGACAACACCAACTTGACTCTCAAATCGACACAGTGGCTACAGCAGTGGGCTTAATTGTGTAAGAGATGATGAGGATGGCACAGGATAGGACAGGATTCAGATCTGTTGTTCATAGGATCACTATGAGTTGTACTTGACTTGATCACACTTAACAACAACAACAAAAATGGCTAAAAAAGGCAACCTGGAGTACACAGAGAAGAAAGTAAACATAAGACCATCAATAATGTCAGAGAAATAAGACATTGTAGCTTGTGAAAAGAAGAGCTTGTATAGAGTATCATTCACAGAACTGAAGAAGAAATCTTGGAAATTTTAAATAGGATAACTAAAACTCAAAAAGAAAACCAAAAACCTCAAGAAAGCAATTGGAAGATACAGCTGGGAAAATCTTTATGAGAGAGAACATATTGTTGATGCTCTTAGGTGCCATAGTGTATAACTCATAGTGACCTTTTGAACAACAGACCTAAATCCTGTCCTATGCTGTGACACCCTCATCTTCTCTGATACACTTGAACCCATAGCTGCAGTCACTGTGTAAATCCATCTGGTTGAGGATGTTCCTCTCTGTTGCTGGCGCTCCACTTTTCTGAGCATAATGTCTCTTTCCATGCCTAGGAACATGCCCAAATTATGTGGAATGAAATTTCTCCATGTTTGCCTCAAAGGAGCACTCTGGCTGCATCCTATCCAAAATATTATCTCTTTGTTCTTTTGTTAGTCCATGAGATAATCAATATTCTTCTCCAACATCAGAGCTCAAGTGCATCACTTCTTTTTTTTTCTATAATTATATTTTATTAATTTTCATAAACATTTACAGAGATTTTGG